TATGGTTTGGAGTAATGGCTTAACTTCCCTCGAGCAAAGGAGTCAAGAGATGGGACATTTGCGCATCACAGGGAAACAGGATGATCGACACTTACATCCGAACCAAATTAATGCAGATGACAGGGTCGCGATGGTAATCGACGATGGGTTCCTGGGAGACTTTGACGACAGCTGACGTCGTTAGACGCTATAGAAAACTAAGGTCCAGAAGAAAGGAACAGATGGTTTGTATAGATACTTAAGGCCTACCCCGTAAGATGATGTAACGATTTTGGAGAAATTCTGGAATGATGATAGGGGATGACAAGGCATGTAAATTTACATCCCGGAGGTTGAAACCAACCGTGGACTTCTGCTCCAACCCGAATACTCTCACTATTTCTTCCATTAACATGCTTTCAAACTCATTTTCTCGATCGGAAATCAGGAATTTTGGACAGCGTCCTTCGTGCGCTACCAAATGCTCCACAAAAATTCGAGCCACAGTCTCTGCTGTTTTGTCTGACACGGCATAATCTGAGCAGCACTTGCTGAACATATCTATTATTTTTACAACATAGCAATTCCCTTGCATCGTAGGTCCCAACTTCATTATATCAATATCACTAATTTTGTATTACAGCAATAATAGGCTTAAGAGTTGGTATCCGTGTGCGTTGTGGGTTATGCGCAGCACAAATGATTGACTGCAGTGACGAATATTCCATAACGCGTGCGACCGCGCTACTGTGAGGCGCTTGTGCTCGAAATAGTGCTCGAAATAGAAAGCTCATCCAGTAAAATACATTTCAATTGAAATTTCCTCTAAAATATCTCTTCAAAAATGATCGCCGTTACCAACAAACCTGAACAGCAAATGCGATTCACAGCGAGCAATTCCACCAGCCTACCAAACAGCCACACTTCATTCATGTTCCCATCCATACTGGCCGACGAAGGACAAACAAACTCCTGCAAACCAAAGTGCAATCCTGCCCCTCACCACTGGGCGGCTAATACAATACAAACATCGATTTTACCACAACAGTGGCACATAGCAATTGTTCTTTCACTTCTATCACACTCGCAACAACGCCCACCGTTGTGAAGGAACTCCAGGCTGCTCTGCTCTGCGTCTAAAGGTAGCGATGCCCTCGTTGTTACAAGGATGATGATACTGGCTTCTCGTTCTTGGAAGGAATCCACTATATGTACCGCATAATCCTCGGAAGGTAAGAGGTTCTTTTGTAGTACTCGTTTCGTTCCGAGGTAGACGCATAAAAAAAGTAGACACTTCGCTCGAAAATACTCTATGCAAATTATGCACCATCTTTTCCAATGTCTACCGGGCTTACTCACGTTTGCATGATGTCATGCGAACCACGGCCTACTTCGGCAATTATCAATTCACTTGTGTAGCGTTCGGAAGACGGAGCAGCTGGAGCTGGGATGCTTGCCTGGCTGCGGGGAAGCGCTCTGGCAGCTGGGCAACACCAAACAATAAGACTCACTTCTTTATTAGTACAATCACGCAAAAAAAATATTTGAAAAAGAACGCAACAAACCCAGGATCAGCCCGGCAGCAGCTTCAAGCTGCTATTGGGCACACGCGTTAGTTTCAAGTGGCAGCAGCTTCAAGCTGCCGCAGTGCACTTCCCGCTTACGCGAAACACAACATTTACAATAACAATTTCATTCCCAGTCATCACATCAAATATTACGGAGGAAAGAACTCGAGTCAGGAGACGGGACATTTGCATATTGCAGGAAACCGAAGGGCAACTGGACAAGGCGAAGGGGGTTGGGCTTCAAACTTCGCTTCCTTGTTACTCGCTCCTCCTTCCTTTTGCAACACGTCACCGCTCGTTTGAGCTCGGTCCCGAGCATATTACAGCGAACCGACGGGCAACTGGACAAGGCGAAGGGAGTGAAGCCTCCAACTTCGCTTCCTTGTTACTCGCCCCTTCCTTTTGCAACACTTGGCACCAGAAGCTTTATCTCTATGGTCTACAGTTACCGCGACCGTTTGTCGGCCTTCATACGAGGCTGCTGATAAACATCTGGTTAGAGTGGGGCAAACTCTGAATGACTGAGACTGCACTGGAAACTGGCGTCGAATTATGACTGATTCAACGATGTTCCCATGTCTGTATGCGAAGAACACTTCCTAGAATTGGATTTATAAACAGGTAGCTGAAGAGCGCCTCTCGTCAAGAACAGCTGCTTAAGGCTTGGAAAGCCAGGGCTGTTACCTAAGCTCCGGGCACCAGAGTCTCTTCGTCGCACATCAGGCATAAAATCTTTCCTCACAGCCAGTCCCCATTTCCGTTCTCTTCAACTATCTTTATATAGCCAGCACTTGGATATTGAGTGCACCGGTTCTGGCACCTCCATCGATTACTTAGATATGACCATTTCGGTAGAGCGTGACACCCGCATAGTTTCTTCTCTTTACTGCACGACCGATCTCTTCACCTCCCCTATTAATAAATATTCCTCGATTCACAGCAGTGTGCACCCATTGGTCCATACAGGAACGACTTATAGCCAACTCATTAGATACTTAAGTACTGAGTCCTCTTAGCAAGGATTTATTTCTTCGGCTCGTTGTCTCATTTTGTGTTACTTCGTTAAAAATTTTTCCTCCCAGCACATTGACCGCTTGCTTCGCACTTTCATAAACAGAAATAAATATCAATTCTCTAAATATTGCCCACCTATTCAAGCTCATTGCCGTCGTACAGCACACTGGTTGGCTCCATAACCGGTTTTCCCTTTTTACTCGCCTCTAGCATTACGAGCTACATTCCTGTGTCTCCTTTATCTTCTTTCCCGCTGTAATACCTTTTTCCAGCTATGACCAGTGTAAAAAAAAGTAAAAATTTCAAGATGGTCAGAATGCTTTGAAGATGTCTTTCTCTTCGTGACCCCACAAGTTCGGCCAAGAGCCCGGGGACTATTCATTTCTAGCCTGTAGTTGATGCGTTCAACGTTCTCTTCTCCACGTTCATTACTTGCAGACTGCAGCGTCTTTCCGGTTTGTGGCATCAAAATTCTGTGATGAACTTTTGAATAATATACAAACTTACCCAGAATAAATCCCTTACCATCGGATACAAACACACAT